ATCTACAATATAAAACATGTTTTGAGTTATTTCACACTTTTTGGTTTTACTTCATAATTCCAAATGTATTTATTCACATTTTTCATGCTTTCAGTAAGAATCTACAACGTAAATAGTCATGAAAATAAAGAAAAACCATTAAATGAGAAGGTGTGCCTAAACGTTTGACTAGTAGTGTATATTAGAAATAAAAAAATAAATTAAATTATCTCAACCAATAAATTTCTATATGAATGATCTGAGGGGGCAGCAGGGTGGCATGGTGGTTAGCACTGTTGTCGCACAGCAAGAAGGCCCTGAGTTCATCATTCTGGGGTCTTTCTGTGTGGAGTTTGCATGTTCTCCCCCGTGTTTGCCCTCCGGGTACTCTGGCTTCCTCCCAGAGTAAGCGAATGGATGGATGATCTGAGAACACTCATCATTAAGAGTTTTTTTTTTTTTTGCAGTACCAGATTAAAAGGGACTTTTTCTCCTGCATGCCAGCTTTAGTCAAATGTTTCAGTCACATGGAAAAAAATGACTCCATCAAACTTTCTTTGTGCCTGCAAACTATTTTTTTTAAAGGAAACTCATATGAGAATGAGTGTACTGTCCTCCTCAGGACTGATATGATGACACATGTGTCTATTTAACATTTAGCAGGCTAGTTCGTGATCAAGCAGATTCATAGCAAATGTGATCCAGACCTGCAGCTGTTTCTTGTTCACGAGCCTACTTCCTCCCAGCTGTCAGCATGAGCATACACTAGATAAGGCAGCGTCTCCTCAGATCACTCAGCACGGCAACACAGGCTGCACAGCGGCAACTGCCTAACTGCACATCAGCACAGAAAGTTTTATGATCCTCACTGTGACTCACTGTGATGACTTGTTTTGGTTTTTGCGTTCAGGCCAAAAAGGAATTTAATCACTGAGAAAAGAAAAAGCATAACAGTATGTGGATTGTGACTATTGTCATTAAAAAATCAGAACAACAAGCCAATTACAGAGCTGCTCTGCTGACAATAAGACACTAAAAGCTAAACCATGAAGCTAAAACATACTGCACATCCATTCATCCATCCAGTCCAATGCAATCATGTGCATCTCTTCATTTTAAGTGGCCAGAGACTTGTTTAGCAATGAAAGCAGTGAAAGATGACTTTTGATATCTATAGTTGCTTTGCCAGCAGCTTACCACCTCAACCAGAGCACTTATGTGGAAAGCTACACAAAGGCTACTGCACATGTTACTACAAGTTGCGCCTTTGGATTGCCTTTAACCAAATGTACAACATTTGAACAAGTTTGGCTAACAAGCTCTCTACATGTGCATGCCAGTGTGCAAAATCCTGTAGGACTCAGACGTTAATCACACTAATCATCTTTTTTTTCAAATAGCTTCTGATAGTTTTTAAGAACCCCTACGCTGGTTGAAATCCCACTATTATCAAAACATAAGATGTAAAATTACTTGCTGAAGTCAATCAGTGTAAACTGAGGGTTAACTGTGCCATCAGAACCAGTCATCTCTCTTCAAAGCTCAAATAAATTATACACCTGGTCTTTTAATGGTGGTATTGTGTGTGTGAGTGCGGTTCTCTCCGTGTGTTAAGTTACTTCATTTTACTGAACTGCACAAGATGCATGCTTTCATGTTTTGCATTATAAACAGCAGGCACAGGGATGATGTAATATCTGCCAGTTACTGTGAAAACCGGTAGAAATTTAAAGCTGTTGTTCTAAAACATGTAATAAAACCACATTGGCGCTCTGAGCTGACAGGTTATTTCTTTGGACCGCGGCACACAAAGGAGCTGATGAATGATGTGTTTGTGAGAAGATTCTGTAACTTGCACAACTTCGTAATAACAGTAACAACAGTACTTGCATAATTTTGTTAGTATGTGGTAATTGTGATGTTTTTCTTATGGATGTAGAAGACAGTTTTTTTTTCACAGAATAACATTTTCTTTTTCTCTTTAAGTTGATTTTATCTGTAGAAAGATTTCATTTTTCATGTTCCCAATTACTACTTTAGTTTATTATCAAAATTTGCACAAATATGGGAACTGTTAAAATGTGAATTATGTTTTATGAACACATCAGTGTCTTAATTAGCAAAAAAAGCATGGAAGATTTATCTAGTTTAATAAAAAGGACATCAAAATGATTACATTTTATACTACATATGATCTAAATGGGTCTAAATTAAGGGCTAATATGTACTGTGATAACCAACCATTTGGTAGCGCTGCATGGTCTACCAAATATTTTAGTGCACTGCCATCTAAAGGCTCGAATGGATAATTACAGGGCTTGCGGTAATCATGGTTAAAATTTATTAATCATGATCTGCAAACGATTTGGTCCAAATAGTTCCACAGCTCCGTTCTCAGTTCTCCAATCCAAGCATTAAAAGGTCACTTTTCCAAAACAGCTTGGAAGCAATTTGATATGAAACATCAATTTTTATTTTTATGTCTTAATATTTTCAAACGTTTCTATAAACTGTGCCATAGACATCATCAGTCACTGGATTAAAATAAAATAATAACATGAGAATAAATTAAGTTCTCACAGGAGCAGGGTGGTGATCAGCATTTAACAGCAGTATAACACACTGCTTAGATATTCAAAATAATTCTGCTGACTATCTCTTTTTAGTCTTCCTCCTTCTTCCTCTCTCCCCCTCTCCCTCTTTATTCTTTTGTCTCAGTCTCTGTGGAGTTACCAAAGAGTGAATGTACCAGTAAAACTGATTTTATAACCCAATTAAAGGCTGATATGCACCACTTTATAACAATATTCTGATATGAATATGAGATACTGCTGGCCATTGAAATGCAACATCCCTCTGACTCACTGGAGCTGTACTGTACTGTTAAAGTGATACAATTAAAGTAATAAAATACATTAGTTCCTTGGCAAATAGCATGGCACCAGACTACTGAATAAGAAGGCTAAAGTTAGCTCATGGTGTCTATCTAGCATACATTAGCTAACTTTTTGGACACTATTTAAAGATCAGATGTACATCAGAAGACGTTTTTCACATCACAGCAATTACCCTGCATTTTAAGAACAATTTGAACTTCAGCTTGCAAATGTTTAAGATAAAATGTGTTTAAAATTAGCCCATGAAATTACATCTTCATCCTCTTTCAGCAGCAACACAAGTCCTATTTAACAATTTATGTTTTAATTTATGTTTACATCATGACAGCGAGAAAACTAGACATTTAGACCTGATTTCCTTGTAACCTTTACCTTCTGCAATAGACAAGTTGAGAATATATATAAAATTAGAGACATCAGTCAGAAAATAATATCAAAATACACTATTATTGCTACCATACCTTAGTTATTTTTATGGGTGGTATGTTGAAATTTAGGGGTACCAGAAAATAGGGTCTAAACTCACAACAGTTGTACCTAGTGCAAAATCTTCCAAAACTAGTAATGCATAAAACTGAAGTGGCATTTACTTTAATATCTTCAAAGCGGGTTTGTAAAGATGTGTTTGTTGGGTATGTTTGTGTTTACTTCAAGCAGTGTTAGTTATTGAGTTTGAGTCATGCAGTTCTTCCATGTGCTGATGTCAGTCACACAACCACTAATGGCAAATATTAAGCTTCAAATGGTTGTCAAGACCACACGTGTGGCTGAGAGTAAGCTGACATCAAAACACTCGTGCACACATGAAAGAGGTGTTTTAGAAAAATAACATGACTCAAACAGCATTTTAACGTAATATGATATGTAATTTATGCAGCGTTTAAATTCTGTTTCTCAAAGCATTCCTATCATGTCTGCTGCTTTAAGTGATGTGCTTACTTAACTGGGCTAGTTTTATCATTGAATAATACACCATCTGATTGCTACAAATTAAATTTTGTTTCATAATGAAGCACCTTTCCTGCTAAAATCACCACATGCTGAGTAACTGGCTGTTTTATAACAAATAAATCCTAAGAAGTGCATTAAAATAAACAAACTTGTCCTCAATTACTAAAAGATTTGTTAACATGAAAAGTTTTCTGTATCTGCTAAAACTCTGCAAGATTAAAAGAACATTAAAACGTTGTTGTATTAAAATTAATGTGGTCGCATGATCTTAGATACAGCCTACAACCTTACCCATTAAATATATTGCATTAGTTTTGGTGATAAAATATTTAATGTGTGTTTGGTAATATGTTTAGTAAACACAGTGGCATCGATTCTACAAAGGCTGATTCATACTTTCATCTCGTGAGGCATTTACTAATGTGCAGACAGATTCATGTTTGTGGTTATGTAAAATATTGAAGGGTGTAACATTTTGGCAATGCTAATCCTGCTTTTGAGAATATGAAGCGTACATGAACAAACATTCAGTGGTTTTTAAAGCTCTATTTTATAGTCACAAGAAGAAATGTGGTGTTTATTCACAACAAAATAAATGTAACTGACACAATAAAAGATTCTGCAGAATATTGGGTTGAATAGACTTAATGGATAAAAGTATCCGGGCACATGACGCTCTGTTTTCAGTCCTATAGCCATGCAGCTATGCAGTCTGCTTTCACAAACATTTATGACCGAACAGGCCATTCTCACTACATTTGAGTAATACCACACTAGATATTACATGATCAGCTGTGGTATTATTGCAAAGTGGAACCACAGCAAGTCAGCCATGAAGTAGCAGACCACATAAAGTTACAGACTTTACATGGGGTCACTGTGCCAGTGCCGAAGTAAATAGTGTGCAAAAGTCTGTGTATGTATGATGCATACATGGGCTCTGCTTGAAGTCTGTGAAATACTATGTCAGTAATTCCACTTTTATAAAGCTCGACTTGAGTTGGAGATTTAAGTGTAAAATATAAGAGATGATGTGATTTATTCCTAAATTTAAACAAGACTGGGCTCATCTTGAAATTCCAATCTGTGTAAAATGAAACAATGAAACCAAAATAAAAATGCAGATTTCTATGCAAAGATACTGGTGACGGGAGCGAGAAGAAAGACAGCGTCTGACTGTTGTGGCAGAGTTTAATTTTCTGACACTTCATAGTTCTTATAACAAACAAACTGACAGAATACCGTACACACAGCAAACAGACAGAAAAAGCTCAGTTCAAAAAATAAAAAGAATAAGAAACAACACAAACAGCAATGCCAAGACTTTTAGAACAGACCTCAACAACGCCTTTGAAGTAAAGTCCATCAGATAATCACAACAAAACTCTTCATATATGAGTCACTCTGGTGTGAGAAAGGTGATTTCTCTTAATATACATTTTTAAAAAAGGTGAACGTGGTCTATGATGCTGCAAAAAAGCCTTAATATGTAAATACTGTTTTAATGGTAACCAAAATCCAGCTTATGAACACCACGGCCGGGCAGATGTTCAATATTTCCAACAATAACGAGACCAAAAATGTCTAAAGGGTTTGTTTTTGTAAAGCAGCATAAATAATACCACTACTTTGTTGTTCTTACAAAGGACGGAAAAGTGACCATTTTCACACAATACTTTCACCTCGTTGTTAAAACGTGACAAAATACAGAAATGCAACACAAAAAATACCAGTACAGCAAAAAAAGACCTCACTTGGTACCTCATGATTGAGAAGCACATTAAGTTAAATAATCAAGTTCCACGTTAACAAACAAAACCAAGAGAAAAATAAACACATTGTGTAACTGATACAGATAACTATAGCACACTTGGCACAAACTATTCCAAACACGCATCTACCGACTTCAAATGTGCAACAGTGTGCAGCAAGTAGGTCTAGAAATGATAATCCAGTGAGGAGTAAGGCCAGAAATCAGTCCTACGGGGCTCAGCTCATTTTGATTTAGTGTTAGAAAGTATCTCTGCTGCCATCCTGTGAGCATCTCTGAGACTGACCGACTTATTAGCTCCATATTCTTTAGAATGAGTTTGTTTTTGACCTTAAAAACAGCAGTTTGACAAAACTATGCAAACTCCAGGGTCACTTACATGTGCTGTTTATCCTGCTCAGAAGCTGGTATAATATTGGTTTAACTGGCTTTCAAGATAAACACATTTAATGTAAGAAAAAAAAAACATGTTTAAGGTGGAAATCACTGAAAACATTAAGTGGATTAAGTTATTTTATTTTTCTAAACATTTGAGAAGATATGAGTTGTGCTTAGTGTCTTATGAACAGCACACAAATATTTCAAGTCATCAGTGAAATCACATCTTTTCAGAGACATTTAGAGAAGACACAGAGGGCTACAAATATGTCAAAAAGAAAGTAAAAAATAAAAAATCAACTAAAATTTTTAAGGTAAGACAGAATACCTGAAAAAACAAATAATTTTTAGCTCTGGGTATTTTATCTACACTTAAAATATTTTCAAATATTCAGCAGATTTCGTTTTAGTTTTAGTTTTATAACGCCGAACCGAACACGAATACCTTACGTCCTGTAATTGTCCAGGTCGAGTGGTGCTCAACCTTCATGGCATTCAATGTCCAAACATTCATGATGAACATGCACAGTATTATTTTCCATTTCAGTGTCCTGCTCAACCTTCAACGTGAGTGGCAGCAGCACAGTGGGCATAAAGCGTCACTGTGCTATCAAATTCATACAAGCACTTAACCACAATTTATTTTTTAATATGAATTTTGTAGGTTGTTTGTCAGGATAAGCCCGGCAATATTCTCTGTTTCTGTTCCATAAGATGGCAACAATGTAACAATGAATTTAACCTAGCTCAGTAATTCTCAAAGTCTGGGCTGCAGCCCACTTGTACCCACAGTAGGTACTACAGGTGTTCTGTGAGAGGTATTTTATAATAAATAAAGTTTAACCTTATTTTTAGTTACAAAAAATTAGGCTATTTAAATGTAAACATCCTATCAATTCATGCCATGTATGTGACCTAATTTGATCTGTAAAGTTTCCCCAATGTTGCCAATGGCAGGAAAAAAGGTGACATGCAGTGATTTAAAACCAGCAAATCAAGAGACGATCAAAGTGAATCTGTGCAAACACAACGATTTCCAATCTTAAGTTGTGAAAAAAAAAATTGAAAATAATTTTTGATATTTGAAATTAAATTGTGGTGTTATTAAGATCGGAAATTGCTACAGTCACACCAGGAAAGAGTGCTTGGAGAGCATGACACCAAAGATATTGTGAGAGTGTGCAGTTGACTTGGAATCTTGCTTCCTTCAAAATGGCTTTTTCAAAGATGGGGACCAGGTCTGCAACCCCAGTTGCTGTCTTCAGTTTGCTGTCAGTTTGTGACAGAAGGGGCTCCAGTTGGCAAATTGTGAATCTGTTGCTGTCTGTTGCAAATCTGTTGCTATCTACATACACAGAAATTTACACTCAACAGAAATTTAAATGAACTACATACATTCAGAGTCCAGTTACAACCTCATAGACTCAAAACAGAAATTTCTCCACAAATAGCGATGTGATGGTTGCTGCAAGACAGCGAAATGATATAGATGCAGCTTTGCTTTTATTTAGGAATACAAGCAGTTGGCAACAATTTGTGTTAAAATCAACTGCAAAGAGATGAGGCACAGATGAGTCCTGCACAGACTGACTCAGATTGATTGCTACTTGTTGGCAATCTGTCTACATTTATAAATTAGACGGCAATTATTTGCAAGCTTTAACCAGTCTGTCTGAGAGTGACTGGAGTCGGTTTGAGTCAGACTGTTTGGACACAGGTTGCCTTGGAGCACGTAACCTACAAAATCCCCTTACGATCAAAATTGGGCACCCAGTTAGTTTTTAAAACTACCTGCAATCGGTTGCTGAATGCAACAGTTTTACTGTAGTGTGACTGAGCCATAAACAATAATTCATTCTGGGACACTGTCGATACAATCATCTTATTCAGTATCCTGGCCTTACTAACACTTGCTGTTGTACTGAAACCAAATGTTGTAGTATTTCCCCTCCCAAAATATGCAATGTTATATACCTTTTATTATTATCACTGTTTCACTGCATGGCTTGTTTCTTCTTTACATTAACATGTCAGAACCCTCATGTACATTGTCCTTCTGCTGTACAAACTACTGCAACACATATATTAATCTGCAGGAGAAAATTATTTAAAACAAGTTATTTTCCTGTGTTTTTGTAACACAAACAGTTAAGATTAGGATGAATGAATTTCAGCTAATCAAGTGGTTGGTTTTGGTCTTTTCATGGGATGTACTGTAACCTCACCCTTCAACATTAAATTACACATTTGCTTTATAGTAATTCTCCGGTCAGCTCAAGGCTGAGAACCACTGCTCTGTTTCAATGCAGTACGAAGACCGTCAGCCTTCAGTCCACATTCAGTGGGATTTTTCAAATACAACTAAAATCACAGTTTGGTTTGAGGAATCAACATAATGTATCGATACAATTATCCAACGAAAACAAAGAAACGCTGTTTCCAGTCTGCAACAAATGAAATACACATTTCAGGGATGATATTAGCAGCATCAGGCATGGCGACTTTAAACTAAAACAGTTTATGTTTCTCAAAATACTATAGACAATCACATAACATAAACATGACCAATCAGATTCAACAGCTTTGTTCTTCAGTATTTAATCCAACAAATCTTCTTTTTCACTGTGAATTCACGTCAAATTTACTGTGAATTTGTGATGGTCAACAGGGTTTGCTGATGTTTCTGCCAGTTGCACAATATCATCAGTTATTTTCCACCATCTCCACTGCTGTAGGAAACGTTTAGAAATGCAGCAGCTCTCATCATATCTACAGTACATACACGACATGACACGAGCGTGATTCTCAGGTCACATATCTACAGTCCTCTACCTCAATAATGTCTCCATAACTGGTGAGTCCTCTGGAGTACACCTCTCTTCTCACTGACCCTGTATTAGGGAACACGGTACGTCCATGAATGTAGTGTTACCTGCTTCCTCCTCCTCTTCTTTTCTTCCCCCTGTTGGGGTGAGCTACATCTGTCAGCCATACAGTCACAGAGCCGAGACTTTGACGATGTTGGCGCCAGCTGAGCTTGTTGTGGTCTGAATGCTCAAGGGTGGTGGGTGACTTGGAGGTTGGGGCGGCCTCCGCTGTGGGGGCCCGTGGAGCCCGTCTCCATCAGGGGTTAAAGCAGGGGGTGTTGGGAGGCTGATGATGGCTGTGGTGATCCGGCCACTTTTGCAGTTGATCCTGCTGCTCTCGTCAGTTTTAAGGTTGAGGTTGGAGCGGCTGTTAAGTATAATTAAATGTGGTTAATGTCTAGTACAAACAGTAGTAATGGCATATGTAATTACATCATTTTTTAAGAAAAACATGTCTGTAATTTCTATAATGTTTTTGTAAATTTGGGCAGGAAATGAAGATTCTGGAGAAATTTATCAGTTAACTGCAATCACAGTCAGCTTTATTATTTATGCATAAACAAATCTTTAAAACGACACTTTATGACTTTATGGACAGAAGTACTGGGCCACCTACACATTACACCTACAGCAGCTTTTATGACATCCCATTATAAATTCATAGGCATTAAAATGGAAATGGTCTCCCCTCTGCAGCAATAATGGCTTCTACTCCTCTGCGATGACTTTCTACAAGATTTTGAAGTGTGTCTGGGAATTCTTGCCAATTCAACCGGGAGAACATTTGTGAGGTCAGACACTGATGAGGGGTATGACTCACAATCTCCACTCTTGTTCATCCCAAAGGTGTTTAATGGGCTCTGTGTGGGTCACTCAAGGTCTTCAGCACTATCAGCTGATCATAATGTTATGGGCCATGCTTTGTGCACTGGGATACAGTCATGCTGGAAGAGAAAAGGGTCTTCCCCAAACTGATTTTTTCAACACTGAAGCATAGATCAGTCCAAACCAGACCAGACCAATCCTAAAAATAAACAACCCTATAACGTAAAATTCGGTGGAGGAGGGGTCTGGCATTTGCCAAACCAAGACTAATCCGTCATTCTGCCTGGAACTCCACAGAACCTATTTCCACTGCTCCAGAATCCAGGGGCAGTGGACTTTACACCCCTCCAGCAGACGCTTGGCATTGTGCTCACATGCTGCTCTCCAGACGTGAAAACTCATTCCACGAAGCTCTCATCAGACAGTTTCTATACTATCCCAGAGGAGGTTTGGAACTCTGCAGTTATTCAGTCAGCAGAGCATTGGTAAGTTTTAAGCCCTGTGTGCCTCAGCACTTTGTAACTTTACTTGATCTGACACTTAGTAGCTGAATTGCCATGGGTCCTAAATGCTTCCACTTTGCAATTTGCATACCACTTACAGTTTATCGTTGAATATTAGAAAGGAAGATATTTCAGACAGACTTGTTGCAACAATGGTATCCTAGTACTGTACCGTGCTCAAATTAATTGAGCTCTTTAGAACGACACATTCTTTCACAAAGGTTTGTGAAGGCAGAAGTCTAAATGCTCGATTTTATACATCTGTAGCGATGGGACTGAAAACACCTGGAACCAGAGACCAAGAAGTGTGACCAAATACCTTTGTCCATATAGTGTATCTAGTGATGCATTTGAGAAGTAAAATATGAAACATGTGAGTCCTTAAAATACCTTTTATTTTGAGAGGAATTTGTGTAATAAAGCTGTACAAAACTAAAATGACATTTTTAAAAGTTAATGTACTCTGCTAGTTAAAAATTATAACTAATTTCTCAAAGATATATTTTATTTAATTAGATTATTTAAATGCAGCTGGATTAATGTTGACAATTGCCTATTCAGATCCATCTATTAAATGTCTAGAGTCGAGTGAGGGACTTCAAAGTGTACCCCCAGAGATGTGTTTTGGAGTGAAAGATTAATGCTTGCACACATAAAACAGTTTCAATGGCCAAACACCAGGAGTTTGAAATTTTTGCCAAACCTCTGATGCTTGCCCCTGCATCTGTTTTTGTTTCACCTGGCGGTGTGGGACAGTGGGTCACCACACTGTATGTGGATGGCACTGAGCTCCTGCAGCGGGCCCTGGTGTGTTGAATGGGTGGTGGGCAGGCTGGTGTTAGGCAGAGGAACATTTCTCTTTCTCTTTCGACTACAACAGGTACGTGTGGAGCTGTCATGGCTGGATACAGAGGGACTGCGTGAGGGATAGGTCTGCAGAGCCGTTTCCAAACAGTTCTGCTCGTATATCTGCTCGTCCACAAACTCGTGAGCCTGGAGAGAAAAAGATGAATGAAAAAAAAAACATGGGGATAGCAAAACAGGAGAGAGGAAAAACAGCAGTCTGTAAATAGGCTACACAACAGCGTTATAGGACTTGTTGCCCAGTTGTACTTCACTTATAATTTTACAAAAGGAACCACACCAAAACAAATACAATTTAAAGAAATTATAAAAAATAACCTTCATCTTATCATACAAAAAACATGCACCTGGCTGATTTCCTTTATTGGCTGCCTGGATAACACTGTCAGTGTTTAATACAGATCTTAGCCAACATCTTTTGCAACAGTAGCTTTAAAGACTTTACAGTGGATGCAGATTTGAGACAAACCTTTACATGACGATCTAAATCCTGTCCTGTCCTCAAACTGTAGTACGAACCAGTGTCTTCTGTGTCTTGTTGCACAGGTCTGCACAGGTTACCATAGCTAAACTTTAACACAAGTATACCACAGACCAGGTTTAAGTGAACTTAGGGGTAGTTATGTTTAACAGATACTGTGAATATTCCTTTAATATCATAATTTAAGTTCAAGAGTAGTTTCATCCTCATACAGAGACTAAAGGAATACATAAATGTCCAACATTATGATGTACAACTGTTAGCTTGAAGCCAGAAAGTTCTAATTCAAGCTCGACTGACTATCACAAGTATAAACTGACGTATTCTGTCTAATAGGGAACCTTAAATTAAATGTGATTCAGTACTGAAAGGAAACTCATTTAAATGTTGAATCTTTACTTCATTGTCATGCCTGAAAATCTGAACAACTGTGTACAAAAACTCAGTTTGAATAAATATAAAACAATATAGAAATGTGAAAAATAGTGACAACATCGCAAATCACAGTAATACATTACAAGCGACAACACAGAGAAAATAATAAAAGAGAATATTCCTCTGTCCAAATACACACTGGTGTGCCGTCAGTGACGCCTCATCTGTGTGAACTGCATGACAAAACTGTGGTGGGCAGTTCAGAAACCAGGTTCACTGCAGTGTAGCAGATTTGGCATCGTAATATGCCAAATGTAGTTTATGGTGCAGCTGAGTTGTAAAACCCCGCAAGTTCCAGTTTTTACAGACCCACTCTAAACCCCACACCCACAAAGTCCCATAACAACTGTCAACCTGGCGTGCAAACATTATGACATTTTTTTTTTAAAAATTTATTTATTTTACCAAGAATGTGTTTTTTGCTTCCAGCTGAACTCAAACCACATATTTGAGAGCAAGGAACACCTTACTGTGACAACGACAGACATTTTTGGCAATGCCCTAAACACCTTTTTTCATCTGTTTTGGGGGAAGTTGGCAGCTACATGCAAAGTCAGTGTGAAGAGCAAGCTTCTGATAAGGTAACATTTGGAAAATCTAAAAAAGTTTCATTGCTAGCTTCATTAATGTTAGCCAAGTTTTCAGCCATAGCTACACAGTGGACATGTATATTTATAACAGAGTGCACTTACTGTTGTTTTCTCCAGACAGTGCAGTAGGTGGTGGTGTTGGCTCTCTAACAGAGAGATGGACTTCTGGGTCAGCTTCTGCTCATCCTCTTCTGTACCCTGATTGTACACACACGCACACACACACATGCACACATACCCACACACGCACACCCACCCATCCACACGCACACACGCACACACACACACACACACACCACCACCACACACACACACACACCACACACACACACGCACACACACCAGCACACACACAACACACACACACACACAGACACCACACACACCTCTTCTGTACCCTGATTGTACACAGACGCACACACACACACACACACACACAGAGTAGGTATTAGTAGGTATTATGAAATTATTCAGGAAGTTGCCCTTGGACATAAATCTCTAGACATAAAGACCCAGATGCTGAGATTGCTCTTTGATATTTACTCAATACTTAATACTTTGAAAATGAACTTTTAGTAATGAAGTAGTAATAAAAAGCCAGAGGTTCTGCTTCATGGCATTCAGTTTCATCTGAACTCTTTTTGTTCATGTTTAATGAGTTTCTCCTCATTTCAGTTATGAACAGGTAGACAACAGCTCCTGCCAATTGCTTTCAAATAATTTACTTGTTACATAGTGAACCACATTCCTGTTTGGAGTGAATTGATCCCTTATCTTTAGGTCTGCTTAGCAAGTGGTTTGTCCACTTTCTCCAATTTGTAATTTATTTCCTATTTTGTAGTTGTTGTTGTTTTTTTAAATCCACAAAAAACAGCCTACTGTTTTTCTTTGATTTGTTTCCTTGTCTAAGCAAGCAGCAAAATAACTTCCAATTTCAGTTTATTGAGCAAACAACATGCAAATTATAAAACCGTGCTACTGCGAATCCTCTAACTTAATTGTCTAAGTAGGTACTGCTGAGTGTTATTTGATGCTGGAGGCAGCTAAACAGTTATTGATGTCAGAAGCTTCAGAAAGAAGAGAAATCGCAGAGTTTGAGGAAGGGAAAAAAACCCCACAGAAGCAGAAACTTATGGAACCCTTTGTTGGTATTTTTCCTGACAGGCTTAGTTTGAAATTCAGCCTTTAATATTCCTTTGTCTCAAAGTAACTGCAATTGCCAAATAACATGAAAACTGAAAATGGTTAATTCTCTCCCCACACTGTTCATTGTTACTCAGAGGATTGGGGTAGGAGGCGAACCAGCCCAAGGACTCTCATTCGGATTCCAGGAACATGAACAACACCGTCACGTGGGCACGTTTTCCGATCGCTGGATTTGTGCATTTACCCTCTGGCAGAGGACCTATACACACATAATATAGATACAGAGCGAGATTCAATGGTCTTTCATGTAAATAAAGAAGCTGACTTTGTGTAGTCAGTAAAAGGAAGCTGATCACGATAACCGTGCTGCTAATGAATGATTGGACAATAACTAAATGTGTTTTTCCCCCAATGTATTTGTAATAAAAAACTCCCCCTGAAGCAGTGGTTCCCGTATTTTGTTATATTTTATTTTCAAACTCCATTGCATTTAGTATATTTAGTAAACAACTAAACAAATACAAGTAAACTGCAGTAAATTACAGGTAGCAATGAAATAAACTACTAACTGTTTTACGTCCACATCTACACGGGTATTTTTGAAAACGCAGCTGTTTCTACGCGTTTGGGCCTTTCGTCCACACGTAAATGGTGTTTCGAATCACCGAAAACTGCGATTTTTTTAAAAACTCAGGCTACGCCCACGTGTACACGGGTATTTTTGAAAACGCAGATTTTTCTATGTGTTTGCACCTTTCGTCCACACTTTGGGAACCTCTGCCCTTAAGTATTCAGTGTTATTCATGTGATGTCCAAAACTACAACAGTAATAATGAGATGTGTATAATTATGTGAACATATCTTTTTGAGGGACTGAGCAAATGAAATAATCCAAAAATTAATTGTCTTGATTAAAGATGTATTCAGGGATGCAGGACTCTTTTTATAGGTTATTTTATTTAATATTAAATGATGTATCAATTAATTTTGTTACTTTGTAGCAACTCAATTTATTTATTTCAGATTCAAGAAGGTCTTCTACCATCTGGGCATTTTTCAATATCCTCAAAATGGATGTATGACCCAAATGTCAAGTTCCTGGAGATGTCATTAGAGGGCTGTGATTTGTCAGTCTGGCTATCCAACTAATGTTGTAACTGCACTATTCAATCACATATTACCATAAATAGGTGTTCAAATCAGTTAGAGAATGACATTAATGCACTTTATCCAATGTTAAGTTACTTCTGTATTCTGGAGCTGGCCTGGCCATTGTCTCAATGGAAGTGTGAAGGGTAATATCAGTTAGTTTGGCATTTAGCTGTGAGTCAGGTCCAGGATGCTGTGAGTTCAGGATATATAGAGTGCTATGTGCTGTGGCCTCAGTCACACAGGCCTAGACCAGCTGGTCACCATCTGGCAATCACCGGTCATGAGGATTAAATGTGTATTCCTTAAATATGCCTCACCTTTGTCACAAGGTGAAATAAGTCACAAAGAGGTTTACACTGAACACCTGCAAACACTTGCCAACTGCTCTCTCCAAGCGGTAGTGAAAACAGAGAGTTGTACCTCAAAGTAAAAGGCATAACTTGACTTTGAAGGCAAATTTTCTCCATTTTTGGTAATAGTTAGGTTATAATTGCAGACAAGATTTTCTATACAGAACACAACAGCAGTTGTCTCAAGGCACTTTAACCCCAGCAATCAGACGACCACCTATGAGCAAGCACTTGGTGACAGCGGGAAGGAAAAACTCCCACTCCCAAAACTACCATAACTGTGGGCGGCCATGGCAAACTGCTAACGACCAAAGCCATCTGAAAGAGGTAATCGGTGCAGCATCGTCTTTGCAACCAATTTCACCAAGTGACGCATAATAAACTCCATGCACCCAGTTTTCCTGGTGAGTTGTGGATACCGGATCTCTAGGCCTTTGTGATTGAGGTCTAAGCTAGCTGTTGAGTTACTACAGCAGTGCCTCCCTTTAAAGTTGGGTCTGCTTGTTGTCACTGTTTGTGCAATTATACATATGTTGAATATAAATAATACAATTGTGAAGCTTCCCACCTTTTTTCATTTCATTTGCTGAGTAACCAGTGAAATAATAAATATAGTTTTATTTAAGCTGATGTCCGAGTTGTTGCATACTTCTATAGCACATTGATCAAGATAGTACCTAAACTCAGATCTTATTCAAGATTCAAGATTCAAAGTGTTTATTGTCATGTATACAGAAGAAATAGCATTTCTCTGTGCAATGAAATTCTTCCTTTGGTGTCCATACACAAATGCCAAGTTAGGTAAGGGTTAAAGGAACAAGATAATAAAGATAAAAATAAGGATAAAAAGTGTGCTAATGTACAAATTGCAGTTGCGGTAGGTCAGCTGTTCAGGAGTTTTATAGCATATATCTGGATGTATGCTGCTGTTTGAAAAAAAGCCATTGTTTCTTAATAACAATTAAAATAAATATCTTGTGTTTCACCTTTTTGAGCTGCCAGACAGATAATTCAGACTTATTTCAACAGACTTATTTATGTATCCTTACTTTCTGTAAAAGGAAAAAGTTATTTCTTTTTTTTTTCTGAAATGGAGATGCTGTAAACCTTCAAAAATAAGTGGGTGACATAAGGTATAATACCTATGAAAAATTTGATTTGGTCTAAGCGCATTATCAAGACTAGGAACACTCAGCTCCTGGGGCGGAAAGTTGATCATTTTGGAAACCTGAAAATGTACTAATGCATAGCTGATGGCATGGGCATGCAGGAAGTACAAATATATGTTTATATACATATTTCAAGGCTTGATGGCATCAAGTAAATGAGTGATCCACTCATTTATTTTATATATATTGTCCTAGTTCACTACAGCCTTCTTTTTTTGCATTCTTGTATGTGCTGATTTTTGTATAAGTGAAGCTGGCTTTTATGGGTGTGTGGCTTCTTTCTTTGTTTCTTTAGTGCATGACGCACCATTCCTCTGTGATACTGTTTTGAGCAGTTTTTTATAGATTTAAATGACTCCAGGAAAAAAGATCAGATAAGAGATAAAGCTGTAATGCCTTCGTATGCAAGATTACCATAAAACTCAACAGGATTATCAATACCCGTGATCTAAGTAACAAATAAAAAAAGCCAAGATGCAACCAGACCCCGAGTGAACTTCTAGTCTAACTAATGACTGTGACAGAATCAGTGATTTTTGTCATATATCTCCACTCACTCCTACCTCGGACCCACGCAGCGTCACCGACTGTCAGAATTGACACCATCGTAATTTGATGCATCAGGACTCTGGCAGCTTCATCACAGACACGAAAAGGAAAGGGGGGTGCTCAGTGCTCACAGATGGCATTTATATGATAATTCTAACCACTTGCAGACACCCATGAGCTTTCACACTGGACTCTATTAGGTCCAAATGGATTTTAGTAACCATCTGCAAGGAGGGGAGTGTGTCACTGAAAACACGAGCGATGGTCTAGATGGATGGGATTTAGGCAATTTGCTCACACTTCACCTAACACATTTTTCCACAAGTGGTTATATATATATATATATATATATATATATATATATATATATATATATATATATATATATTATATATATAATATATATATATATATATATATATATACATATACTATAATATATATATATATATTATATTAATATAATATATATATATATATATATATTGTATAAAAGAGTGAGGGGATGATTGATTCAAACAGTAGAAAGTTCTGATCTTTAGATCTTTATGCGCAGACATGCATTACAGTAGAGCAAATAATTATTTATGTCCTCTTCTTAGGCTAGGCATTAGAAACTGAATTTCAAAACTACTTTCAAGTTAATCTCTATTGTCTCCACTGTTTCATTGTTCAGCGGCTCCGTTTTGCTTTGAAGCCTCCTTTAATGCACTAACAACCTAATTATTACCAAGAGCGACTCGACAAGCAAGTAAGAACAATCTTACATCCTAGATAACCTCAGCTTACCGTTTTCACAGACACGGATTAAATCAAGTCTCAGACTGATGAACAACCAAAAAAAGCACTTTGTGTTATTACACAGATAACACTCACATGGGGCATTATTAGCCTCTGCTATCACCTCTGCCCTGCATAACAACAAGAATGTAATGGCTCCAACTTCTTCTTTTATAGCCTCTAAATTACTTTTAAATTGTTCTCTGTTTATTTGACAGTAATTGTTGCCACTTTGCTTGTGTTTGCGTACTGCAGATGTGAAGTTGTTGCCTCCAAGCAACTGAGTTGCAGTGAACTGAAATAATTAGTACATGGGCGTTTGACAAGGAACAACATGATTAATACTGAATTACAACCTGCTGGCATTGCACCATTTTTAATGAGCACACTTAATTAAAACAGCTTCCAAGAAATCATCGCGCCCACTTTGCTGTTGGTGGATCTTCGCATTCAGAGGGTCAGGGGTCTTTCTCACCGTCAGCTCCAGCAGTTCGTTGAGAAGTCCGTTGCGTTTGCTCTGAAGGAAGGCGTTGGCGCTGCCGGACTTGGCTATTCTTATCCTGGCCAGTCTGGCTTTCTGGGTGTGGGAAGAAGAAGAAGTCACAGCATCAGACAAGGTAGGCGGGAGGTCGGAGAAGATGACTAATACCTATTTAATGATAAGAATCTGCCAACTCATCACACAAACTCTGTAGTAATTTTCACAGCTACTACATGACTGCTCTTATCTCTGCATTTTCAAGTTCCTCTCTTTCATTATATATGACAGACATGTTCTCGTGTCTGTAACATGCTGCTACTGAGTATGTCTGTAAGTCGGCACCCAAACAATACACTCATTTGGGATTGCTGAAAATTTAATTTCAAGTCTGAAATGAGCATAAATATGTTGCTATCTAGCTGCTGCAGATTTTTGCTCACATTTAGCTGAAATCCCAGTAGTGATGTTGAGCGATAAGGCCTGGCTCAGTTTCCAGTTTTTCCCAAAGATGCTGACTGAGGCTGAAGTCACCAGCTAGAAAAAGGTTTTAGACAGCAAATTCTACGATAATGGCTTGTCTTTGTGTTTGGGGGAAACATGATAGGAATTCAAGTTACTGGAGGCTTATACCAACTCTAGATTACAGGTGTGCAAGAATATGAGGAACTTTAAACAGGTTTAAAACAGTTAAATAATATGTAAATACTTTGATCACTTTTTAGTCTAACACAGTGCTCTTTTTAAATATATAAAGATCTCTTATGTTTTATAGAGAAAACAACAATCAAAATCATGAAAGCAATTCTTGGGTAGTTGTAGCTTTAATTGGGATGTCTAACAACAATTTTGCCAAGGCAGTGTAGATTGAATCAAAAAGCTTTTTTTAATGAATGTCTTCTTTTAACTTTTTATTCTTTCATCTGTAACTTTAGCCCTTATATTTTCTGATTCTTTACAGCTTCGCTTTTTCTAGTTTTTCCTTCCAGTCCATTGATACAGAGTTTTTTTTTTGTTTTTTTTTCATAATTCATTTTATTTGGATCCCTGGAAGAGCAGCAAACTCTGACTAATCATAAATAAAGAATGAAGAATCACGATGATCTCTTTGAAACTCCAGTTTTTGGCAGAAAGTTGTGAGACTTTTGAGTCTGAACCCTTCAGATTGATTTTTCTAAAACAGGATAAAACTAAAGAGTCGGTCCACCAAGAAAAGCAACAACAACAAAAAATGGGCTCAAACTAAGAAAAATATAAATGCAACATGAAGCCAAGTCTTGCATTTAATGGTGCTGCAAGCACAAATTGATAATTTGCTGCATTAGTGCCAATTATGCCCATGAGAACCTACTGAGTTCACAACATTGCAAAGTCTGTTTGCCAACATTTATCAGTTTATTTTATTCACCTTCTGTTGCAGCAAAAAGATAAAATTGCTTTAAATAACAGATAAAATAATAGAACAAAGGAGGCAGGAAATGAGAGAGATATTGCATTAAGGATTTCATAAAATGAAGAGGATATTATGACAACTGTAAGGTGAGCTTTATCTTTAACCTCACCCTACTGTGCTCTCTCTCTCTCACCCCCTTTATATACATTTAAGAAACAGGAGATACCGAAGAACATCTGCTTTCCAGACATGATTCAAAAGTAATATTTAGACGCTTCAAAAACTGCCTGTCAAACTAGTGAAGTTGTATGAAAAGCTGGAACCTGAGAGGTAATAATAGTGCTTGTGTATGTACGTGGTCAGTATGTGAAACAGGGGTAAAATGGGAGGATCATTGACTGCTTCTTTCTGCAGCTGAAGAGTGAATGAATTAGGAACCAGTGAAATTACCGTCACAAGCTGCCTGGCTTTATGATTGATCAAAAGTACTACTTGACACAAGAAAGGGAAAAATATGAAAGAATAAGCGTCTCTGATTCTTCTGTAAGTGCAAAAGGTTGTGCTGAGCGTCTGTGATGAGCTGCTGAGCCCAAACAGTTCTCTAAGAAACTTTTACTCTAAACACATGACAACTCCAGAGGTGTGATTGAGTCTCATTTAGTTCAAAGTTAAAGACAGTGGAAAATATTGAAGCAGATTAAGTCAAACTGCTTTAAAATCAAGTCCCTGAATAGTTAATAAAGGTATCACACATGGATCAATATTTGTCTAGCTGCAATAAAAATGATTTGTTTTCCAATTGAGCACTGTAGTGTTCATTTTTATGCTGTAAACCATTGTGTATGCTCTTGAACGAACTGCAAACCAGGCCTTTTAAAGGTCAATTTGCTTTTGATGGCCTTAAAATCCCATTGATTTAAAAGTTTGTCTGAGCCCCAGAAGGACTGAATGAATCTTTCATTGAAATGTTAGTGAAAATGTAACTGAAAATTCTCTACCAATGATAATGAATTTATTGTTTTGTCCTAACAAAACTCATCATCATGAAAATGCCAAACAGAAAAAATTATGTTTGCCACCAAATAATTTAAAAGTAAGTAAAAAATGTAAATAAATAACAAACCGAGGAATTTTCTTACGTCAGATCAGGGGCGCCCAATCCCAGTCCTCGAGAGCTACTGCAGCTTTTAGATGCATCCCTACTCCAACACAGCTGCATCAAATGGTTGGATTACCTCTTCAGCATACCACCAAGTTTGGCAAAGGCCTAATAACAAGCCATTCATTTGATTCAGGTGTGTTAGAACAAGGACGCATCTAAAAGCTGCAGGACAGTAGCTCTTCAGGACTGGGATTGGACACCCCTGTGTCAGATTGTACCCATGTTCACCACAGTACCTGTCATGGTCCTGGGTCTGTGACTCAGTGTTTTGATTTTGTATTATTATTTTTAGTATTCTGTAGTCTCTTCTTGGTTCATGTTTATTAGTGTTTTGGGTTCTGTATTTCTTGCTCTTAGCTTTTGGTCTCTATGCCCCTCATGTTACTCTGTGTTCCTTTTGTTCTGTCAGTGTATTTCCTGTTTTACTTTGAAGGTCTGTGTCTGATGTTAGTGTATTCACTTTGCATCCTCCTTGTCTTGTCATATTCATTAGGTTCAGCTGTGTCTCCCTTCTGTGTGTAGTTTCCTCCTTACCCCCTGTGTGTATTTTTTAAAGTGTGTGTCCGTGTTAACTCCGTGTTTTCTCCCTGTTTATCTTAACCCATGTTTGCTCTGCTCTCCATCTCCTTCAGGTTTCAGATTTGTTTGTTTGATCCTTAGTTTTTCTAGTTCAGGATTTCTTAGTTCTGATTTTGCCTCGCTTGCTTTTGTTTAGCTTTTGTTAACGTAAGTAAAGCTCACTCGCATCAAGTAAGTGCCTTCATTGTGGGTCCTTCTTCATAACTCCACGTGGCTTGCCTCGCTAGCCGTTACAGTACCCAAGTTCATCATGAAAAGAATGTCTTCAGTTCATTGTGTCTCATTAATGTATACTAAGAAAGTGTACTAGGAAAATACTACTGTATATTAGGCTTTGGCTGCACAATTTGCAAGTTTCAAAGTTCAAAAAAAGGTAAAAAAAAAAAAAAAGATGGGCATTAGTAAGAAAGTAAATCTCACTTGAATTTCTTTTTGTGCATAATAATATGTTACTCTTTAACAGAAAAGATACAACATGTCAATCTTGTAATCAATGCACAAAAATGTCCACTGTTACTGTAGCCAAAAAGCTTCTGTCTTTATCCTTTATTCCAAAATTCTTTGCGTACATGTTAGCAAGCTGCAGTTTTACTCTAATGTTCATTTTGGATAGAAAGAACTTTTTAATGGCAAGCTTCACATGCAGGTTAAGCTTGTGATTCTCTTTCAGACTATAAATGTGTTCATGCTAATAGCAACAGTTGCAAGCATTACCTGCACATCCTGTAATGAAATCTTACATTATCTGAGGCTTCTAGTCTAACCCTGGACAGACTGGCATTTTTTTCTCATGTTGTTGAAAATCTTTTCTACTTCTAGAATATTTTCCTTGGACTGGAATGGTTAGGTTTGTTTTTTTTTGTTTTTTTTTTACCTCAGTACCAGATTCATAAATATCCCAAAGGTCTCAGGAAGCTCTTTAGATGTAGGCATGATGATGCTACACATTTCAATAACAAAGAGAAGACACTGGATGTTTGGTGTCACATATCATTCCCTACGGAGAATCTTACAACCTTACACCCAAGCTGAAATGTGGTTGATCTGCTTTAACTTCATTTGACCAGGAAGTTCTACTGAGATCAAATTTCACAATTCTTGACCGAGGAAGCAAACATTAAATACAACCTCTACAACACAATATATTGCATACAAATACCCACAACATGAAGCATAAAACACAAGAGAAAAACACCCACAGCTCTAATTCCCCATATTCCCTACAATGCTTTTAAATTCACTAGAGGCCTCTTTTTTCTGAAATGTTATGTCATTTATATATTCAAATTATGAAAATGATTAAAATTTTCTGTCTTATTCATACAGCTTTCATCTAAAAGAGCTGTTTGAGAGTTGTTCATATGTTTGCTTGTTCAAATATGTTGAAAAAGTCCACAGAGTTTAATTGATATACTTTACTGCTTTATTCCTTAAGACGGAAAACCCCATGAATGAATGTGTTATTTTTATGGCAAATACACTCAAAGCGCTTTATACAGCATCTCCCAATCACACAAGCACTTTCTAACATTCCCACTCTAATGAATGCATTGTGAGCAGCTCGAGGTTAAATATCTTGGCCAAGGATACTTTCACAGGCAGACTGGAGGATAGGGATAGAACCACCAACCCTCTTATTAGCAGATGACCTGCTCTGCCTCCTGAGCCAAAGCCACCTGAATAAACCTCATTCTTCTATTAAAGTATAAAAATTCTGATGAAAGTATCAAATACTTGATACTTTGTTATTCTGATACATCAAATTCCCTCCATAAAATTAAAAACAAAGCATGATACTGTAAAAGGGGAGGAGAGGTTACGTTAAAAATCCGTCAAAATCCCAAAAATTGAAATTCACTAAACTCAACTTTAGAAGTAAATGCCTCCTAAAGGGTGATGAATAAGTATTTCATGGCTGGGGAAGTTCTTTAAGAAATTACTCTAAAGTTTGGTGTGCCCCGAACG